CAAACATTTATCGTTGAAAACGTTACCCTTGTAAAAAATCCAGTTGAAAACGTCGTAGGAAAACCAAAAGCTGCAGTCGAAAACCTCGTAGAAAATCCAAAAGTACCTAGTTGAAAATATCTTGCAGAAAATCCAAACAATAGAAATGAAAACTTTGTAGAAAAATCAAACACTTAACCAAACACTCAACCAAAAGCTGCAGATGAAAACGTTGTAGAAACAATGTAGAAATTCCTTTAAAAATGCCATTAAAATTAAATCCAAAATGAAAAATGTCATTGCGATTAAAATGGTATGCACAATAATTCACAAACATTGCTGACAACATATGGACGGATAAATAAAAAGGATGCCAGAAATTAACGGTAAACCAGTAACGTTTAAAGTTCAAAAACAACCTATATAAAGCCGAATATTTATTTATTTACCATAACTACTAATATCGACAGTTATGGTTGACTTCCCAGAACTGAACCGGGAAGCAATTCAAGGTGCATATCATTATGTCAATCAATAATTCAATGCACATTTATAATGATAATATTTATTATTATTAAACTTCAGTATTTTCATTAATGACAATTTAAAGAAAATATTGAACAAATCATATAATTATGTTACTATAATTTTCATTTTATGCGAACGTAGCTGTCATTCAAGCTACACTACTTTGCATAATACTGAAAATGCAGTAAAAATACTAGAGTAACGAAGCTACCACGAAAGAAAACTAGCGAAAACTTGTCGAATTAGTATTTTACGTCTAGAGGAAAAACTTTGRAAATCATGAAAAGTCGATCATAATTTTCAAAAGTTTTGATATCGTCTCTAAACATTCTTAGATATAAAAGGAAACGGAATTTTTACGTAATGAGACATGTATATTAATATGGATATTGAATAACTCGACTAATTACACACTGTAAAGAAAAAATATATATTCCTTTTCTACTCAGTAGAAGAACTAATAAAATGACCAAACACCTACATCGCGAGTAAGAGTAGAAACCAACTTCCAGCTCAAGAATAAAGATACGGAAAATGATTTAGATAAACGTTAACTGATTCTAGTTCTYGAAAGCTTTCCGCATTCCGTATTCAAAGCGCACATTTCTTTACTTAGTTGCATTATCCCCTAACGTCATTTTCCTATAATTTTTTCTTAATATTTTTCTTTACTTAATAATAATATATTTGGTCTGTATATAATATTTATTTTAGTTTTAGACTATAATGCTTACAAATTTTTATCAGCGCAATGTTTGCAGTCAAATCATTACTATACAAACTGGTCAAATGAACCTAGCCAAAAGGCAAGTCGAAAATACTAGATACTATGATTTCCTATTTTTCCGAAAAAGTAGTAGCTTCTTAAGAAAACCCTAGTCTCTATATTCGTTTCTTAGTTCTATATCCTAGTACWAAGAAACGAGATAAAACAACAACTTTTTAACACTTGCGTATAAACTCGAAGACTTCTTTCAACTTGGGTGCTTGCCTTGATTTGGGTAGCTTGTCATAACGGTTCTGAAAGAAGAAAGCAAAAAAAAAAAAAACGAGTATTAATACTTTGAGCACATAAATATTTGTAATAATGRTTGTCATTTGTATTAGGAAAATAAAATAAGGGCATGAAAGTTTCAAAAGCCTGAATCATCTGGGTTTTTTTTTACTTCACCATGCCACGATGACCTGCGACTCCCGCCAAGGTAAAACGGCAKTAAATTTGGTACAAAACTTTATTCATAAAGACAAAAAAAGGTTTTGAGACCCCAAAAATGTACGAAAATATCGTAAATATTGCAACTATGAATGKTTACTAGTTGCAAAACTCTTCGAATGAGGCTTCGCATTTAGTTCTGTCCTCACAGTTCACATGACACTCATCCGCCGCCAAATTTTTGAGTTATTGAATGAAAATTATAGTAAATTTTGTCTGAAAAATTCTGTAGACGTTTTACAGTAAAAGCATACACATTTCTGTAGRATATATATTCGAAAGGCTGGTAAAAAGATAAATAAGAGAAGGACAAGTTGCCGAAGCTGCTCCGCTCCCGCCAAGAAGCATGGTGCAAAATGGCCGGAAAATTTCAAGCCGTATTTACTTCAAAAGTTCTTCCCTATTTTTYTCGAAACAACATTTTAGTAAGTAAATGATAGGCTCTAGAAGAAAACTGTTTCTTACTCGCAAATTTCTAAACTTTTAGTAGCTATTTTTTGCTGTAGTTTAATACATACCTAAAATACATCCTCTTCAGCTTCAGGTGATRACTGGAAAGAAAGTTGGTAAAGCAAGGATAGGCTTTATATCATGCTTGCATTCACGTGGTACCTCAGCCTGCCAATCAAAATATCCTCAGCTAATCAGAGGACAGAATTCCTCCGTGCTTTTTTTATAGTTCACTGATTGGTTAAATAGAATGCATTTTGGCGGGAAAATGAACAATAGGTGTAACAATGTTTTCTCGACTCTGATTGTTATTTGTTTTTGCTTTAATTAGAAATAATTAAAATAATATATTTATCCAGTTTTTTATATTAAACAAAATGGACTCATAAAATT